AGAGATAATTAACCTAGTTGAGTTTTAGAGATCAAAGCGGTTAAAATATAGGAGAATCCTTAATTATTGAAGTGTTAATTTGCCACTAGTGACCTTTATCCAAACTTGAGAGGGTGACGTTTGGGATTTCTAAAATTCAACCTAGGGTCATACCTTCGAAAATGAGTAAAAAGAATAAATTTGGGGGTTGTATCCCACGAGTGAAAAAATGAGATATTTGACAATTGAGAGTCGAAAATTAAACCAAGCATGATTTTGTCATGTTTTACATAAGTCTTCACACACATACACATGTCGAGTTTTGCATTGAATAGATAGAGATTGGTTTTTCTATGTGATTTTGAAACTATTCTTTGTATTGATACAAAAATTTCAATCCTGAGACCAAAAGCACGTTATCTAAACAATTATTTTTTGAGTTAGGATATAAATTTGTTTGAGGACAAACAAATATTCAACGTTGAGGGGTGTTTGATAAGTGTATTTTGTACACTTATTTGGGCCTTTAAGTTAGTGTATTTATTGGCTTCATTTTATGTGTATTATATCTATTATATACAAATTGACAAAAGGGGAGAAGTTGTAGAAAAAATGACTTAAAATGGCTTAGTTGTAAGAGATTCAAAGTTCGTGGACTAAAGTGTAAATAATCAAAAATTGTGTTGTACCTCACAATGAAGATTCGAAAGTGATAAGGGTCAACTGAATGAGAAAACAAGTCAAATGGATGAAATAAAGTCAAAGTATTATTACATTTTAATTTTCAGCCGAAAAAGTTGTGTTTCGAATTTTCAGTCTCAGATTGAGATCAATTTTTAATATAGTAAATGTTCGAATTATATTTCTAGATTAATTGTAGCCCTTTAAGTTAATTTTTAGATGCACTTTGAATTGTCTCAATCAGGTATTAGAAGAGAAAGTTATAATAAAAATACTGATAACTGCTCAGAGATAAAGCTTGGCGCTTGACCTCTTCCTTGGACTACCTGAAGCTCAAAATGCCCTTAGAGGTGCGTGCCACCCTTACAAATAGGCGTGCTTGTAGTTTAACTTTAAAGGATAAAAATTGTTTTCGTTTCTTTGTTGGAAAATGTTGCATTATATATAATCTAAGCTTGGTCCAAAACGTGCCGAACATTTTTTTTATCGTTGAAGAAATCTATTAAGAGACGAACAAGGGATTTTACAACAAGATTGAAGATTCAAAACTCGGATTGAAAAATGAAGTATAAGAAATCAAGCTTTTGAGTTCTACATCTATATCTTTGTTTCGAAAGATGCATTTTCATATCTTTTGTATAATTTTAATATAATAATGTTAGACTAAACTTTTCATGTATTGAATGAATGTTGAAACTTAAAGATCACCATTTTTAATTTAAAGATTAAGTATTTTAGTGAATTCTTGTGTTCTTGATCACTTATGCATGCTTATTTGTTTGAATGTTTGATCACCATTTAGACAATTAGTTGTTCATTGTAGTGTTGGAAGACTTAATAGTTAAGTTAGAACATTATATATTTGACACAGGCCAATATGTATTGGAAATAATATTTATGGCGTATTTAATCGTATGTGAAAATCGTGTGATTGAATGCTCTCTTTACACATGAATTCAGATTAGGAATATGTTTGGGTCGTGCTTAGATATATTTAATATATTTTGATTTTTTTTAAAATATTAATGGATTATCGATTGTCATAAATACTTGAAGATCACTAAATTACATAATTTGAGAATAAAAAATAAAAGTCAATACGTGGATTCTAAAATCAAATACATTTATTTCATTATTGGAAAAATTGCAATAGCGATCCCAAACCATTGAATTTTTTGCAGACTTTACCTTAACCTTTAGTTTGTGCCATCAACTGTTCCAAATCTTTGAAAAATTAGCACATGAGGATTGCTAGTTGATCAAGAAAATATGTTTTGACCAAATCTAAAGAATGCAAAATGGTAAATTCATCATTATTCCACACAAAACAATTAATTGTTTTTTAAAAAATAAAAGTAAAAGAAGAATTGAAATGTTCATCCACCCCCACCCCACCCCGCTAAATCAAACCCAAATCAGAAATTACTTATGAGAGCTTGTTTAACTTGTAATTATTAATTAACATTTATTCATCTTAAAGATAGGGACTTCTGCTATGTTTGAAATCGGAAGATGGCGGAGGAAAAATATCTACTCTCTTTAATATTTTCAAGCCGTTTTCTGTTTTCGATTTTCAAAAACAATAAAAACACGTTCTCTTTCCTATTTTCGAAAACGCGTTTTTGAAAATAAATTAAAAATTTACAAAGAAAACCCAAAACGATAAGTTTATCATTTTAGGTTTTTTAGTTATAATCAACTCAAAATTTTCAAAACGCATTTTGAGTATTTTCAAAACAATTTTTCAAAATGTCAAAAAGAACAAATTTTCAACAATCCAAAATGGATACTCAAAACACAAAATCCAAAATGAATTCAAAACTCAAAACACAAAATTGAAATACAGAGAGAACAACCATTTACTTTCCCCAGCTAAATCATTTGTTTCAGACTGAATAGCTTCAAGTCCCTTACTCGCCACTATTTCCTCGAATCTTTGTTCCATGCATTTCTCGTAGTGTTCCTTTGTCAGCCTCACCAATGTCCATGAACTCGAAAGAAATTCCTTGATTCACAAGCTTAATTACAAGATCAACAACCCCAATAATTAGTACAAAATTAAGAACCCCTTTAGCTTTATGTATGTTAAGTCGTAAATTTAATGAATAACAGAACTTATTATACCTCTACAAGACTCCAATTTTCACAAGCAACTTTGATCTTCTCCATTACTGCACCGACGGGGTCGAGTGGATTTGGGTTGGGTGTTGGATAGGAGCATGGGGGTTTCGGGTAGAGTGCGGCATGGGGTGGGTTGCGGAAGATGAACAATTCCATTCTCCTTTTTTTTAAAATAATAATAATAATATTTTAATCTTTTTTATGTGAAACAATGAATAATTTATCAATTTGCCCTTTTTAGATTTGGTGAAAACACATTATCTTGGTCAGCCAACAGTCAAATTCATCCATTTTGACCAAAGTACTAATTTTTCAAATGTTTGAAATCACTGGTGGCACAAACTAAATGTTAAAACTAAAGTATGCAAAAAAAAAATTCAAAGGTTTGAAATCGCTACTACAATTTTTTCTAATTGATAAAAAAAAAAATCCAATCTTTACAACATTCCAAGTTTAATTAGAATAATAACAAAAACAACAATTCTTTAGTGTTACATTGATCATATTTGACAACAACTAATACACTATAATTACTATTTATTTCTCGTGGGATGATACATGTACTCCCAATGTATTTCTTGTCAACGATTCTGTACTCTTGCGAATTTTGTTCAAACGTTATCCATGAAGGATTTAATATGCATGAATCATATAATTCAAGTGATATTTTTATGTTGTTTTTCTTTGACCAAAGCTTTATCCCATTGAATTATATTAATAAACTTATTAATGAAACCTTTTTCTAGTATATTCAAGAAATGATGTACTATTTTTCATTTATTATGATTTCACCTCAAGGTTTTTCTAGTAAAATTTTAACTAGTTGAATTTTGTGCAATGAATATCAATACGAGAATCCCGAAGAGAACAACAAAATCATTTTTTAAGGGACCATCATACTGACTAAAAGATAAATATCATGTATGTAAATAGTATTGCTTGAAGATTGTAATAAGACTAGTAAGAAGCACGTGCAAGGCACGTGCCATGATGTAGTAGACTATATAATAGCGTAGGTATAAAAAAAATATTTATGTCAAACATTAGTTACATAAAATTTTCTTATAAATTGCTAAATGTTTCAAAGCAACATTAAAAACTAAAGTAAAGACAAATCACTCTTAAAAAAGAAAAAAATAAATAAAACTTCATCTTTCCGTGCAGCGCGAAGAGATGCACAAGCATCTCTTCGTGCAGCATGGAGAGATATCTCTGTGTTACATGGAGAGAAATTCTCCATGCAGAATGGAGAGATTCTCTCCATTTTGATCCATTCTCAGAATGGAGAACACATGGTTTGAAGGACCCTGCTCAAGATAACGCAAGAATTTAACGTCAAATTTTGGAAACATTAAACTTGAAGTGAAACAAAATCAAAACAAGATCTATATGTTTCTTCAACCTTCAAATGAGTCAACTGAAAACTTAAAAGTGAAATTTTCAAAATTTAGTAGTCTTTTTACCTTTATGGGCCATCCGATGACGGAATTGATTTGAAAGCGGAGCAGTTTATTTAATCTCGCGATGATCAAAGTGCACAAAATTCATATCTCGTGTTCAGGTAGACAATATAAGAAACAGTCTCATTAACCACAAAATACTAATTCACACTAAACCATCAACAAAATGTTTTAAGAACTGACAATTAAGCATACACAAATCCCACGCACATATAACATAAAAGAAAACTAATTAACGTAAACCAGCGAATTTTGAAATATATGCTAATACCTGAGGATGACTGAAGTTCAGATAACCATCCCGAAACAAATCAGCCTAGTGCACATTTTTCTCCTGTATCACCTACTATATCCACAATCCAAAAAATGGAGCACGAATTAAAGTCCAAAGATAGAGGCAACTTATAGGTTGTAGGCTGAATCCTGATTGAATAAGCACAAAATACGTCAAGGAACAAGCTTTTACGTGTCAATCAGTAAGCAATAGAATGGAAACAGAAAGAAGTGACATCTAGCTAAGATTTTTTTTTTATTAAAGAAAGAGACGATAAATCATTAGCGCAAGGATATAATATGATCGGTGGCAACAAAAACAAGAAGAAAAATCCCTCATGTAAGTTGAACCATGCCCTGCTCAACCAAAAATTTATTAAAGAGAGCTACATTACAAGTTGAACTCAAAATAGTATTCATTGCCAGAAAATGTGTAAGAAAAAGAAATGATCAGAATGACTAATGCTAGTTTCTGTATTGGAGATATTAGCCAGCCCACCCACAATCAAACCTGCATCCACATATACGAATCAGATTATAGTGAAATGCGATAGCACAATCAATTGAAACTGAAAATGAGGGATATTTAACTTCTAAATCTGTAATTCTCAAACAACTGATTTAAATGAAATAAATTTACCAATCAAAAGAGAAGCACTGGCTTCGGGGAGGTAATAGAACTGACGTCGAAGAACATGACCGAGGACAAAGGAGAGAACAAGCATCATGATCTGGAGAAGAATACCAACTCCGACAGCCTGTTGCTCCTTCCCTGGACTCCCCCGTGGATAGGCCGGAGATATATGCAATTCTTCCATGCTGATTCCCCTGGCCTGAAAATTCAACAAACAATCTCCGTGTTTAGAAACCATACCCAATTAAGAGGTGGTCTTTGCCATTGCTTCGCTTTCCAAAGTGTATAAATAATTAATATTTGCAACCTTGCATTTATACTCTTTATATACGTTTAAAATTCAATTGCTGCGTAACTATTCCAACACAAGAAAACCAAATACAGACCCTAAAACAAATACAATCGACCAAAGATCGAGTGGAAACATTACAAAATAAACAAATACAAATGGAAAAACAAACACAACAGGTCAATTTTCACCAACAGACTGAACATAAATGACATAGGGTAATTAAACCGCAAAAAATATATATAGAACAAATTCCAGAACAACATACCCTAAGCTAGAACGACATACCTTCAATCAACACGAGCAACAACGAACCCAGGTCGATTACGATCTATAGACACAACAAACAACAACACTTACTACTTAAATCGTAAGAAAATGGCAAAAAAAGAAAAAAAGAAAATTAGAGAAAACACATTAAAGTAATCGGTAGAAATTGTGTGATTCTCTCACGTAAGATCAACAAAAAAGAAAGAATGAAATCGAAGCCACACGGAAAACCATGAAAGTTTTTTTTTCCTCCCAGGATAAAGCTAGTAGATTTGGGCAAAAACAAAACCCATTGGCAAAAACTATGAAAGTTTTTTCTCCCAAGACCAGGATTGAGCAAGCAGATTCGAACAAAAAAAACCAGTGGCAAGAATATAATAAGTTACAAGAAGAGGGAGAAGAAGAGAAATTAAGGTTAATGGAGCGTTTTGGTTTGGAGAGCTTAGGGAGAAAGAAAGCTTTTGGTAGTACCGGTTTTGACAATACGAGAGAGATATTTTGTAAACTCTGCACAGTGCGCGGAGTATTGCTCCTTCCGTTCGGAGAGAATTTGACACTGTTCATTGTGTTTTTTTTTTTTTTTCAAACTTAGTCTTATTCTTATATTTTTTTTATTTAACCAATGTAAACATGCAACTATTTTACTTTCACCTTTTCACGAACAAACGTAAAATACAAAAAAGTCAAATGACTGTGAAATAACATCATTTCTTGAACCAAAAAAAGAGGTAAAATATAGTTTAGAATATATAAATGGCTCGGCGAACGCAGCTCAAGCACTTTGGCCTGGCTTAACATGGCCATACGATTTATGAACAATGAAAACCAAAATGACTCTTTTATATAGTAGTGATGATAGTGAGAATATGAATTACCAAAATTGTGATAGTGAAGTCATTGACATACATACATTGATAACTTGATACTAGGATTTTTACTTACTGAAATCAAGGGGAGTGGCTATAATTTTTTTCCTTCGCTCAAATTTTGTCTCATTGAATTTTCTTGACCAAGCTTTAACGATGCATCATTACTCTATATTATTTATATTCTTTTTTCCTTTCTTTGATATTTTTGTTCCATTGAATTTTACCAAACAATATTATCAATAAGATAGATATTATGTAAATTATCATGCAAGAAGTGTTATATATAAAGTAGTATTTGTGAATGACCATTTTACCCTTACAAACCTAATTATTACTAATATATATGAAACATTAATTCTCAATAAAATACACAAATCTATTCACTCTTCCTATTTTCTTCTATTTTTTCTAAAGTTTATAATGGTTGACAAAATTTTGGGGCTCAGTGTCACATTATTAGTTGGGATGGAGGTATCATTCCGTTCAAGCACGTTATTTTGACACATTTAACTATATTGATAGTAATATCCGCATGACAATTTTATTTGATACTGCCACTGTAATAATGTACTTACATAGGTGCTGCTCAATAACATCGACTTGAGTGTTATTTGTAAATAACTAGCTTTTATACTCAAGTTGAGACCATCGAGTCATTATTCTAGCTGCTAGTATTATCCATGACAAGATCCATAAACTCGTGTTAGAAAATCCTGGATAAAATTAAACAATCTTTCTGATAAGTACAATTGCCACAAGATTGGGCATAGGCAATCAAGAACACAGATTTTGGAAACATATAAACAGACTAATAAGGTTCTGCTGAAACAAATCAATCAATACTCACTATAAAGACTGTCAATTAATAAAGGTTCCTCCAGGCAAGCTCGGTTGCCCTTGTGATGCAACTTGTCCTTGAGATAATAGCTGTGATCGTCCCCCACCTTGAATATAAGCTTGATTCATACCTGTACCCACCATTGTCTGCTGCACATTCTGCTGCTGCTGTAGCTGCGGCATTTGCTGCTGCTGCTGTAGCTGGGGCATTTGCTGCTGCTGCTGCTGCTGCTGTTGCTGTTGCTGTTGCAGTTGTGGAATTTGTGGCTGCATAAGAGGTTGCTGAAGCTGTGGGTGCGGTTGCTGCTGACTTGGTATCTGTGGCTTAAATACAACCATATCCTGAAAACCAGAAGGAATTATCATTAACTCAGCAGGCTTCAGACCTGGACAATGAGATCAAATAGAAAACAAGTGTAAAGCTTTTCACTGTCTACATCATTAGAAAAGTAAAAGGAAACTTGCAACATCTTACACCGGGGAAAAGCATTCCAATCAAACGACAAGCCTTATCAGAAACTGAGAGCAGCAACGTCTGCAATGGTAACTGTATAACTGCACACTAAAAATTTCCGAACGAAAAACGTGAGGAATTTGTGTCAGGCTATCAATATCACAATAGTGGAATACAGACATACTTCATCAATAAAAGTTCCAAGGAAACAAGTTGAAAAAATAGAGTGTGTTGTCCACTATCGACTATGATATAGCCCTTTCACAGGCATTCTGAACCTAGCCTCACACTAGTTAGAGGAGTTGATGACATCCATCTTCGAAACTTTTTCTGTTAGTTGACTGTGCAATGAGTACACCACATGAAATATTTCCTCGTTTTCAAGCTGTTAAAGCAACAAAACTCGCACAATTTTGTTTGTTATTTCTGAATCAGTAGACTCGAATGATTTGGTTGATTTGAATCTCAAGGATCACTTAGAGCTTGTTTCTACAATTCTGACAGTGACCAAAGGGCGATTTGCAAAATACGAAAAATGGGGGACCAATTTGGCTGATCTGTGAACTGCTGAAAAATCAGAGGAATCAAATGTAAACAAATATAAGTGTTTGGTGGCATGGATTATTAGTCCCTCAAACAAGGACTCATTGATCACTTTAAAAAACACCGACTGCAAGTGGGTCAAAAATTGAGAGCAGCAGCGGAAGTCCCGGTGTACTGTTTCAGGGACCTCCAATAATTATGGAGATATCATTGTGAGTGATCTCTACATCAACATGGCATTTCCCACGAGCCACGTGATGATGAAGATATCATGGCCATGTTAGATAGAGTACCTACAGCCTATGGATATAATTCACAAGATAGGTCTACAACTTCAGCTACACCACAATGCGCAAGAGACACATGGAAGGTTCTTTATTTTATCATGTACTTCACATGTTGGTGGGATAAGTCTCATAGTATGTTCCTTGGCATTTTACTTTTCACTTGCTGGAGGTTAGGTCTAATCCCCCATCTTAAATTGTTTTCTGCTATTATTTCCATTATTAATAAAACACACCACCACGAAAGTTTTGATTTAAAAAAAAAAGACTCAAATGGTTTGGTTGATCATCTCCATCGTCCACTCTCTTAATTCCACCCCGGAATCTTTGTTGCTTGTAGCCACATTTAGTGAGCTCCTCGAGCTTCCACTTTGATGCAAAAAGGAGGACTACAACTACTTAGGTGATGCTAAGAACTCCAATACAGTTTAGTGAAGACGTGACGGAAGATCCAAAGGAAGAAAAACAGACATGTTTTGTAAGAGCCTCATCAACGGAATCACTTCCTCTTTGCCAGGTTTCATCCAATTTGTTGTGGGAGGGAAGAGGGTAAATTAGATAAAGGAGAATTTCCTTGTTCTGGTATGAAATCACCATCACTGAGTGATTTCTTTCTTCAAGATTCAAGAAATAATTTTCTTTTCATACATTGAAGATGCTGTAGAGAATTGTCAAAGTTCCTTCCTAGTTTCAACAAGGATTAATTCTGCATAAATTAAGAGCCAACATCCCTTCTCGAATAACAAATAGTTTGAGAATTCATTCAGAAGGCAACAGCTCGTTGCATTGATGTATGGAACCCGAACTTTCAGTATTAAACTTTGACTATATAAGGATAATCATCAGCTTTGTCTTTGGAAGCTTATTCTCTGGAAATACTGGAGATAGGACCTGCTTAGTCCGAGATGAAACGGGAATTCTTTAGTCAATATGCTCTTCTGCATGTGGACAACTCTTTCACTTAACCGGCAATTTCTTTTCACAATCTTAACTAAATTTGTAAAAAGTATAAAGGTAGTCATTGATGTAATGGAAGAGATGGCGAGTTCACGACAGAGAACATTCACAGTCAGTTCAATGGTCTTCTTGACAGCTTGAGGTGCCAAAAGCCTGCTTACAGTCTCAACTAAACTACAGAACAAGCAAGAGTTTCAGTACTAAGGCAGTTTTCCAGGCTTTCTAGACTGGGTAAAAGTTAAACCAAGATTTGCATGGAAGCAATAAAAAATAGCCCTTCTATCAAATAAATTGTAGGATGCATAAAGAGGACTAAGAATAATTTAATCTTTTATTACGGATCTGAGCAACAGATAATTCGCAAAGTGCCATTCTCCCGCAGACCAATTATAGTTATCAAAGTAAAATCTCCTTCCGGAGTCCCAACGAGACATGAAAGAGGCTAGACTTCTCCTCCAACCCCAAAGAAGAAAATGATTGCATTAAAATAGAATTGCTTAATTATTTTTTTTAAGAATTCTGGAAATACAGTATTGGACCTCTACTGAAATGGAAAAAGGAAACAGCTAAATCATAGAAGAAACCATAAACCAAAGCTAGTTTTCATCCATGCAGTAAATCTTTGAGAGAAATGCTGTTGAAAGAACCTGCAGCCTTGAACCAAAAGGAAGCCAGAAAGACAATACGAACCCACACAATAACCCATACTTGAATTTCTTAAACATAAATGTACTTGTTACTACTTAATCCAGCTTTCATACATTCGATTTAGAACAGAAGTAGAAATCCAGATTTCATAGACATCAGAGCCTAACAGCTCCAAGATGTATATCCAAAGTGAGAGCAGGTCTTACATAATCATATGGACAGCAAATAGCATTGTTTAAGAATATCAGGTGGATATAGTCAAGTAGTTCTTCATAGTCCAACAACAACATAAATTACTATTTATTCTGAGGTTCAAAGAATTCGAGTTCACAAGCCTTTCATCTCATGATTTTTTTCCTTCCAAGTTCTTTAACATAATTACTACATTTAGAAAGGATTCATATCGTGCTTCTTATCATTATTCTCATCAAGCTTTTAACAAGTCATTTCGAGTACTCAAGGTTAGCATTGAGAATACTTACAAGCTTCTTTTCTTGCAGCTGCCCTAGAAACCCGTGCTGATTCATTGCACGAAAAACTAGAAAATCAGCCTTTCCAACATACTGCCTATCATTAAGTTGACATTTTAGGCAAGTATAATACAAGAGAAAACGACTTTTTAAAAAGTGAGGACATCCAATAAGTGGAATTTACTTGTTATTCATGTGGTCCTGGGATATCAACCGAACTATTTGCATTGTTGGTGGCCAATTTGCAGCAAGCCTGTAGAAGGGTCATAATTAGCCAATGGAAAAAAAATGTTATTCTAGTGATCCTGAACTACCATCTAAAATATTACGAAAAGAAAAAATAAGCCTCCCTAAGAAATAAAAAAAAAAAGTAATTAGACCAGAAATTATCTTGTCATTTGATGCCAGCAATGACATACATCAGCATTATATCAAAGTATCACAAGGTAGAATCACCTTTAATATGTTCCTAAAACTTAAAAGCACTCAATCAATTTAATTTCTATTTAATTTGCCTTGCATCATGGTTTTCCAGGTATATTTTCGGAGTCAAATTTTGACCAAATTTGCAATCTCCACCAAATTGAAGCGGTAAATACATCATACTGGTGCATCCTACTTTCTCAATTATTCAGAAATATCATCTACGCTCTTCCTTGATTTGAAGATCTGAACACTTGGTCTTGACCCAAGTTTAGCCTCCAATTCAGATTATAGTAGTCAAACATGCAAGTCATTGATTCTATGCACAATATATACTTTATTTAATTTCTATTCATTGTGGAATCTACAGTCCAAGTTCTATTGTTCAATCTTCTCTCTTTCTTCCTTTTCCACAACACCAGTAGCTCATTCAATTTGAGTCATTTTCTAGCAGGCTGAAAGACTAATTCAATCTTCGAGCTTTATGCGGAAATTTCCAGTAGCACACTCTATACTGCCTTTTGGTAAAATTAAGTATTCAATAATATCCTCATGTTTTCAGTCATATTGACTTTGGTCCCTGATTTCAATTGCCAAAAGTGCAATACCTACGTGGAAATGTGAAGTTTACTAGGCATTTTTGTTGTTATGACCATTTTCTTTCTCTAGAATAATTTCATCTCTATATGGATGTGGATTTCCTTGAGAACACCTAACGAAAAAATAAAGATACAGTTCACACAGAAGCCCACTGTAGATGCTTATTCTTCCTGTTTTTACCAAGTTCAAAACCTAGAATACAAGTAGTTACCAGGCTCGAGTTAGGTGACAGATATGTTACATGATAGATGGGAAGTTCAAAGTGATGGGGCAAAAACCATTTGAGACAAATGTTTCTTTGATAGCAGAATGATAAAAGATGAGGATTGTTTCAGATGTGATGCAGGATAACATGCGAAGAATTGTGCAGTCAATGGATCTGGAATATTCAAATAATTGGTTAACATTATTTTGCTACCAAAGTAGCAGGTCAATTGTTCTAGAAAATTTCCCTCCTTTTTATAATAAATACATTCTTTTGCAATAAACATCAATTGGACGACAGGTAACCATTTAGATGTCAATATATGCATGAGAAGGAAGCAGAAAAGAAGAGTGGCTAAAAGGGAAGGTTTCAAATAGGGAAAGTTGACTAATAAATCTATAGTCATTTCGTCATTAATTGTAGTTCTTTCATGGGAAAATTGTCACTTAAAAGGGTGGCCATTTTCTCTGTTACCGGTCTTGATGCAAGTAAAAATAAAGTTCAGTTACACATGGACTCGAGAATGGGCCTTCCATTTCCAGCTCATGAATCATGTTGAAGTATTATCTCAAAACCTATTGGTGCTAAATGGAAAAAGGATATTGAACATTGTGAAATATATTCTCAAAACAATAATAATTTATGCACCATTGGCCATACCCTCAAGATATTTTGGAGCATGTTTAAAGAATTAAAAGGATTTCACTAGATCATTTTAGAAAGAGGCAAGCCGGAGTTTATGGTTATTTTCTCTATTCATTTTGATCCTGAAGGCATACTACAGTCTACAAAGCACATTATGGAAGCTATAACTTCTTCACAGGAAAACAAGTCGTTAGCGGCTTTGAAAGATCAGCACAAAATCCTTTTTCACATTACTATAAATTTGCATAATCCACCAAACTTGAACTAGCAGCACAACTGAGAGGAATAATGGAACAAGCATGAGAGAAAAGCATCAGAGAATATGAAGACTTACGTCTCAGAAGCTGATGCGCTCCTATACCCCTGGAACAATTAAGCAGAATATGAGAATAGAAGTAATGTGTGAATGTTCACACCAAGATGTAACCAGACTGTAGCATGAATGATATGCCACAATGTATGATCAGCTATGATGCACCGACACTGACACGTGTGTCCGACACGATACATGTCGGATACGTCGACACGCGATTTTTAAAAAAAGTACAGACACGACACATCATCGACGCGTTGATTAAATTATTAAAAATTCTTCATTTATATAGTATAAATTTAGTTTTATACTTGTTATTAATTTTTCTTATTGAAATCTTTTAAAATTGAGTACATATTTGTTACTTGCTAATAACTTTGAATTAACAATATATAATATTTCTAATATAAAAAGAAAAATGATTACGGTAGAGTATCCGAGAAGTGTCGGTATCGACTCGTGTCCGACACACTAACCTAATTGAAATGTCCGTACTAAAGAGATGATCAAGTTTAGGAGTACATTTTTAAAGACAAAATGTCCAACCAAATTACCCGATTTAGAAATGAAAACAAGATTATTTATAGCATGAAAATCCCTTCTTAGACGTGTAACATACCTCCAGTCTGGTGATGAACACAGGCTGGCCTTGTCGCTGCCCAGATAAGTTACCCTAGACCATTTTATCATAAAAAAAGTTGAGGATGTTTAGCTATGTAATTAAATCAACAATATCTGGTAACTTGCATAATGTTTAACAGCACAAAGAAGTACACTTTATTAGAGATATTTTTCGTTTAGTTTGTCCTCGAGTTCTCTCTTCCTAAATCATTTACCAATTGATGGAGATTACATACTTTTCACTTCATTTTCTTTTAACAGTTCAGAAATTATGGAAAGTCTCCTTCGTAATGGAAATTGGTGTCATTTTCATTATATTTTGGCAATGTCAGCAATAGGAGTATGGATGAGAAATAAGAAATGGGCTACGCATAACATTGAACGTGTGAACTGAGACCAAAGATTCAATTCTACTATAGACCCACTATATAATTTAATTTTTTATCAAAATGATGAGCAAATCAACATGAAACACAAGCTTAGCCTCCACATTGCAAGGTCAAAGCATTTGCATTTTTAACCTAGTTTTACTTTCAGCCATGACTTCACCATTTCAGGACATCCAGTTTTATACTATTGTGGATATGCAGAGCTGCATACATACATCGTAAGAATGGATACCTCATTTTATAAGCATTTGCTTCTACTGCCTTATTGCTTCGGCGCATAAATCACGGTAGCTGTCAGTGGATTATAATTTTTCCTTGCATATTCTTTCCCCCACCTAAAAACTTCAGTTGTGACATGATACCTCGAAACCCTTGCACTTCTCAATCTATTTTCAACATGCTGAGTAACATCTAGTTACTCCCTACTACTCTTCTCACTGGGTCCTTCAAAAAATGCAAGAGTCCAGTAAGTTGGTTGGAGTGTCCTGCAATGGAGATGCANGAGTTCAGTAAGTTGGTTGGAGTGTCCTGCAATGGATATGAAAGTAAACTCATACAATTATTTGAGGAGTTGGAGGCTAGTAGGGGGCAGGGGATGTGTACACCAGGCGGGAAAGCCAGAAGGAAGGGCGTCCGCGAGCTTAAGTGGCTCGAATGGTCAGTAAATTACGGTGCTAAGGGTGGCGAGGCTAAGAAAGTATTGCTGGGGAGGGATGACAGCGTTCAAATGACTCCAAAACTTATTAGTTGGAATGTGAGGGGGCTTAATGAGGCTGGGAAAAGGTTAAGTATTCGAAATTTGTTAAGGGGACGGAGGGCTGAACTAGTATGTTTGCAAGAAACTAAGTTAGAATTTGTCTCGACGGCTGTGGTTAGTAGCTTATGGGGAGGACAACATGTAGGATATCAGTTTTTGGGGTCATCGGGGGACATCAGGAGGCATGCTTATCATGTGGGACACTAGAGTTTATGATATGGAGGATGTTAGCGTTGGGTCATATTCGCTTTCGCTCTCGTTTAGGAATATTGGGGATGGATTCCAGTGGATGTTTATAGAAGTTTATGGTTCTAATTCAAATGAGAGTAGAGGGGGCTTGTGGGATGAGTTGACTGGTATGATTGCTTGGTGGAATCTCCCGTGCATTGGGGGTGATTTCAACGTGGTTCGATTTCCTACTGAAAGGTCGAGTGGTAGGAGACTAACTGGGGCTATGAAGGATTTTTCAGATTGTATTAGGGAGAATATGTTGGTGGATATGCCTATGTTTGGGGGAGACTTTACTTGGTCATCTAATCGGGACCAACCTGTGCTATCTCGTATAGACCGGTTTCTGGTTAGCGAAGAGTGGGAGGCTAAGTACTCAGATGTTACTCAGGGAAGGGTCTACTCTGATCACTTTCCTATTTTGTTAACTGGGAATACTAGGGGTAATGGATTGAGGCCTTTCAGGTTTGAGAAGATGTGGTTAAAAGTAGAAGGTTTTGGGGAGCGAGTACAGAATTGGTGGGCTTCCTAAAATTTTTTAGGGTCCCCCAGTTATGTGTTGGATCATAAGTTGAGGGCGTTAAAAAGGGATTTAAAGAGGTGGAATGAGGAGGTGGTGGGCAACGTGGACTTTCGTAAAGTTCAGTGCCTTTCAGACATAGAAGAGCTGGATAAGCTAGATGAGAGGCGAGGGTTGGATGGGGAGAAGAAGGAGAGACGTCGTGTTTTAAGGGCAGAGCTAGTGAGTTTGGTGGAAATGGAGGAGATTACCTGACGCCAGAAATCTAGGGTCACGTGGTTGAAAGAGGGAGACAAATGCACTAAGTTTTTCCATAGGGTTGCCAATTCTAACAAGCGGAATAATTCTGTCACAGTGTTGGAGGTAGATGGGGTTACTTATGAGGATCCACAAGATATTGGGACCCATATGGTGAACTTTTATCAGAACCTATATCGGGAGCAATTTGAGTGGAGGCTGGAGTTGGAGAAATTGGAGTTTTCTACTATTACGAAGGAGGATGCCGGTTGGTTGGAGAGACCATTTGGCGAGGATGAAATTAAGGTCGTGTTTAGTATGAATGATGATATGACTCCAAGACCATACGGGTTCTCATTCTCATTTTATAAGGCGTGTTGGGAGGTGGTGCAACAGAATATTGCTGATGTTTTCACTTACTTTTTTGAGCGTGGCAGGTTTCCGAGGAGCTCCAGTGCAACATTTATTGTGCTGATCCCTAAGAAACCGGGAGCAACTGATATTAAGGACTTTCGCCCTATTAGTCGGTCAGTGGGGTGTACAAGATTATTGCAAAAGTTTTGGCAAATAGACTCAAGGCGGTGCTAGGGAAAGTGGTGTCTAAGTTTCAGAATGCTTTCATAAAAGGTCGTCAGATTTTGGATTCTGTACTTATAGCAAATGAATGCATCGACTCAAGACTGTGCCTAGGGGTCCCAGGAATGCTATGCAAGCTCGATATTCAGAAGGCTTATGATCACGTGAACTGGGGGTTCCTTCTGTATATGCTTAGGAGATGTGGATTTGGGGATAAGTGGTGTAAATGGATTCAGTTCTATATCTCTACTGTATTATTTTCAGTTTTAGTCAATGGTACCCCCGAGGGTTACTTTCGGAGTAGCAGAGGGATAAGGCAAGGGGATCCATTGTCTCCATTACTGTTTGTTATTGTAATGGAGGCCTTCAGTAAGATGCTCGAGAAAGCAAGGCGGGAGAATTTGCTTACGGGATTTACAGTTGGTCAGATTGAGGTGTCCCACTTGTTATTTGCGGACGACACACTGATTTTTTGTGACGCAGTTGAGGAGCAAGTCAGGAATTTACGTAGGTTGCTCTTATGTTTTGAAGCGGTGTCGGGATTGAAGGTTAATCTAAGGAAATCCGAGGTTATTCCAGTAGGGGAGGTCACTAATGTGGAGGAATTGGCTATTATATTGGGTTGTAAGGTTGCGCAGCTACCTATGTCGTATCTTGGACTCCCTTTAGGGGCGCGATTTAAAAATATTAACATTTGGAATGCTATTGTGGAGAAAGTGGAAAGAAGGTTAGCGGGGTGGAAACGTATATATCTCTCGAAGGGTGGTCGTCTTACTCATTAAATCTACTCCCTCCTTATTTTATGTCACTGTTTCTCATTCCTGCTGCACTGGCTAACAGATTAGAGAGGATTCAAAGGGAATTTCTTTGGGCAGGGTTGGAAGAGGAGAGGAAACTGCATTTGGTTAAATGGGGAGTTGTCTGCTCTCCAATGAGGATGGGGGTCTCGGGTTGAGGAGGCTTACTTTGTTTAATAAGGCATTATTAGGCAAATGGCTGTGGCGGTTTGGTGTGGGGAGGGAGAGTTTCTGGAGAGAAATCATTGGGGCGAAGTATGGCGTGATGGAAGGGGGATGGCGTTCGGGTGATGGTTGCGGGTCTCAAGGGGTGAGTCTATGGAGGTATATTCGACGAGGATGGAATGACTTTCGAAATAGCTTGACTTTTATAGTAGGGAATGGTAATAATATCAGATTTTGGGATGATTGTTGGTGTGGAGATATACCGCTAAAGTTGAGGTTCCCTTCCTTGCATCGCATTACTATGAGGCCTTCTGCTATGGTGAATGACGTTTTAGCCATCCACAATGGGAGTTACAGTTGGAATATCACTTTTCAGAGGGGTCTGCAGGATTGGGAATTGGATGACTATGCATTGTTTCTAACGGATTTGTATGAGGTGCAAATTCGGGTAGGAGAGGATGATGGTAGCCGATGGAGGCTGGCACATAATGGTATTTTTTCGGTTCGCTCTTATTTTAGTTCTTTCTAGGGACCTGTGGAGAGTTCATTCCCCTAGATGATGGTGTGGCAATACAAATTGCCCACACGGCTGGCATTTTTACTGTGGACGGTTGTGAGGGGACAAACATTAACGATGGATAATCTCCGAAAAAGAGGCTTTTATGTTACCGAGTGGTGCTATATGTGTGAGAGTGATGGGGAGGCGCATGACCACTTGTTCATTCACTGTGACGGTGTCCGTTGGTTGTGGAACAGCATTCTGGCTTCTCAACATATAGATTAGGTGTTGTCAAAACGTATATAGGATGTTTTACAGGCATGGAGGAGGAAATTTCGTGATAAGAATAGCAATCTAGTATGGAATCTTATCCCGGGATGCATTGTTTGGTGTGTGTGGAGGGAAAGGAATAGCCAATACTTTGAAGACCAAACACGGAACACAGCAATTTAGAAAATTATTTTATCTGACTTTGTATACTTGGTTTAATGCAGCGACTAGCAATCCTATAGAGGAGCTGCCTAACTTCATATCTTTTCTCTCTTGTTTAAACTGATAATACACTTCCTGTGTATTCTTCTTTGATTAATAAAATTTTTCCTGATTATCTTTCAAAAAAAAGTGATTAACTCTAACCAACGCACTATCGTTAGAGTATTCCTAAAGCTTTCATTTATTGACCTCCAACTTGGTGAGAGTTGCTGAACAAAGAAGAAATTTAGATCGTTGAGCATTTCCTTTCCATTTACAGACATTAAATTGTATCCCAATACCTGATACTCCAGTTTAGATGAATCGTCTACATATTTTCCTGTCGTGTTACTCTAAAGGTCCATAAAAAGGCCCCTAATCCCACAAGAAAAACGTATATACCTTTCTTTGGGTCTTATCCAATATTAATCATTATAAGTCGAGTTCAGCCCCATTAAATCCAACAGAAAACACTCATTCAAAAACATCTGCATGTTAGCATTATTTAATAATCCACTTTGATACTTTCCTTTGATATTTTGGCCAAAAGGAAACAACACCACCACCTATGATAAGTCTTCAAAATACAATGGGGACTGCAATGCCAAAAGTATCTTAACCCAGAGTACGGGCATGAAACCACCACAATTGGCTATTGTCATATCATATTTGTCAGCAGTGAAAATTATAAATACGCTCTCAAAGTGTTTAAAATTACCCCGGCAAACCATTAAAGCAATTTTTATGTGTATCTTCCTTAGGAAACTTCATGCAATAGTCCAATTGCATTTATTTTTTGTGAAAAAAAAAAAAATTACCTCCCAGACTTTAACATATTTTGATTGTGCAGAATTTACTGTACTTGACGTCTGCTGATTCAGGGGCATGTTTGCTGCTGAATTATTGTTATTCACACCAACAGGCTGCATTCCTGGTTGTTGAGACATGCCTGAAGTAGGCATCATCGTGCCAGTTCCAGTTGGCATACCAGATGCACCAATGCCACTCATCAAGTTCTGGTTCATGCCTATACCATTCTGTACCATTTGTGTGACTGGAAGGTTTCCTTGGCTCATCCCTGGTACTGTTTGACCCATATTAACATTTCCTTGGAGATTACTCAAAGGTTGCGACATGCCTATGTTAGGATTTCCAGGCATACTAGAAGCTGCGGAGGTAAATGATGCAGGAGCCGAGTTTTGCACAACCTGACCAGTTCCTGTCATTGGCAATGACCCAGCAACTGATGCAACACCTGGTGGCCCCGATGATATTACAGTTTGAGCAGGAGGAACTGAAGATGACATTCCATTGGATATCACGTTTGACAGCATAGGTGTTCCACCCCTAGACGGAAGTCCAATAGAAGTTCCTCCAGCAAGGGCTTGACGTACTTGAGCAACATCATTCAGAATTCTCACATTCGCTGCTGCACCACCCGCTGGGCGTAAGGACTGTATCACATTACTGACGAGAGGTTTCATATCTTGTGCATTCTCATTGTTTGAAATCATTTCTTGAGATGTCGATATAGGTGAAGAAGTTGGTAAGCTTGGAACAGCTTGAGAAGCAGTGCGGGGAACAGAAGAAATGTGTGGAAAAGGAGGTCCAGCTATGGAGGTGATGGTGCTGGGCTCCTGAACAATTTAAGATAGGTAAACTTCCACCACAATTGATGAGTTATGGAGACGGAAAGCAAAACCACCTATATTTTCCTAAAATGAATGAACCAAAGATTGAAAGATATGCAACTTACCACTTTTACAGTTGCAGGAGGGATATTTCCAACAGATATTGGCTGCCGGCCCATGACAGATCCATTTGCTGAGAAGGAAAAACTGCAATGTCAGCGGTTTCGATAAGCAGAAAGGTTAAAATTCTTCTGAGATCAATCGAAGAACAATTATCAATTCATAATGATATTGCCACCCTCCATCATAATACAACCGGCTGCATATCTTACATAAGCTTTTAGTTAATAGATAACATTTTTTATGTGCTATATCAACATTTTTCCAAGTTCCATATTGCTACAATTCTTTAAAACCATCATACTATCAACTGATGCCGCACTCCAAACATTGCATGTTCTGAACATATTGGATAGTAATTTTGGTCCTCAGTAAACAACGGCAAGGTAATGTCACCGAAACTACGTACTCTATTATTTATACCAATGAAATATACAGATTTGACCAATCACATCTCTATTGGAATGTGTATTATGATGGGCAGGTTAGGTAATATCTAGCCCATCTCATTGTTTACACAAATAAGCAAGTGAAAATACTGGGAAAGGTAGAGGATGAAAGAGGAACGGAAATTAAGCTTTCAACATGCAAAGTTACCTGCTGGAATAGAAGTTGAAGTTGGCCCAGAAATGGAAGGAACAGAAGCCGGCCCAGAAAGGGAAGGAAAAGAAGTCACATCCATTTTCACAGGGCTCTGATTTGATGCCAAATTTGTCACTCCGGAGCGACTTAAAGCAGCACGAGCCTCGTTAAAGTTCTCCGAGATTAGAACAAGAAAATGGGGATTCTTAGTAGTGTCTACCGGCAGATCTGCAGCCAGTGGATTTCGTTTTCCCTTAATCAGCACAAAATAATCAAATATTAGCATTCACAACAGAATATTGAAGGAAAAGATAGAATATCTTTCAATTGTCATCATAACCAAAAGGAAATGGAACTAGTGATATACATACAGTGATGAATGAAAATGAGAAAACTAGAAGATTAAATATCCCTATATAAATACTAGGTTGCTGATTCACTCACAATAAGAATGCGCATCAGATTAATATATACCAAACCTAATTAATTTCAATTGAGTAAATTTAAGATAAAAACACTATAAAGAAAAATTAAATAAGGAAAACTCCGGGAGCTAATGATAGACCCCAATCCGGTTTACATATGCAAACATAGTGCAGCCACATCATTTGTTATTCCAGAAGGTTCAATAGTTAGTTAGAGGGTCAAAAGTGTAAAAAGTCAAGTAGTTACAGTTAGGGAATTGCTTATAAATGTGATGGTGAAGGGGATTAGAGGGTATTGAGAAAAGATAGTGAATTGTGAGGAAAGCCAGGCCTCTTGAAGAGCCTGGGAGCATCTTTTATTCCATTCAGTGTCATCTGATCAATTCCAGTGTCTTCCATCTTTTCCAATCAATAAACAATATAAATTCCAGTACATATAATCTCTGTTATCTTCTAGTTATCCCCAGTTGAAGTAATTTGAGCTAATACAGATTGGCTAATAGTTTCACGGGGTATTCAGTCAAGCAGCGGCATCAGTATCCATTTCTGGAAAATCTCAGCAATCTCAGAGTCCTATCAAAATGGTATCAGAGCAACCACAATCAATTCAGCTAAAACTACTATTGATTATGAAATTTCACCAAAATCCAACAAGGCAGAAAAAAATACAGTAGGAAGGATCCATCGAGAAGAATCAGGAAAAGTAGAAAATCGAAGTCGGCAACTGGAATTGCAGATGTTCCAATCTGGAGGAGTTGAAGCCTCCAGATCTTAAATTGGAAAAAAATTGAAGCCTCTACCGTTTGTTTCGATCTGGAGGTGTTGGCTGGGGATCACTGGGAAGATAGCAGGCAACCAAGGAGGTGGGAGAATGTGGAAGCTCCATTTCTGGTGATCTCTGTAGAGCTGCTGGAAAGCAATTTCATTAATGGGCTAAAGGCAGTAATCAAGGCAAAGAGACACGTGTTAAAACTTCATGGGTTGGGCCATATCATAGAATGGGCCAAGGGATAGAAGACCACAATGAGCATTTGAAGCAAGCCCTATTAAGTCTCGGCCCATCCAGAAGTAAACTTAACCCCCTCAGCCCACCAGTTAGCTACAACCCACTAGTTAGCTACAGCCCACGTTTTCTCCTTTATCAGACCACTTCCAACAACAGGTCTTCATTCACAGTAAATTCTAGAATTCCAGCAACTACCGCCCTACGACCCACAATCACGACAAAGGGGATTCAACCGTTTAAAAAGCGAACTAATGCTGAGCTTCAGGGAAAGGGGAAGAAGGGGCGAGCGGTCTACTATACACTTCAAAGGAAATTTTGTGGGTAGGGGTAACGTGTTATGGCGTTGCCTTGGATACTATACTAGCAATAATTGCTCTATTGAGTAAGTCCACCCACTTCAAATGGCTGAAACGTCCTTTTCCCATGGTGACCATGACTGTAGTCCTGGCAAAGGAAATTTTGTGGTTGTATGATGAATTGAACAACAACAGCTTCCACCTTGAGGGCAAGGTGGATTTTGGGGAGGCGGGTAATTAAGACCTCAATCCGGTTCACATATGCAAACATAGTGCAGCTACATCATTTGCTATTCCAAAATGTTCAATAGTTAGTAAGAGGGTCAAAAGTGTAATAAGTCAAGTAGTTACAGTTAAGGGATTGTTTATAAATGTGATGGGGAAGGGGATTAGAGGGTATTGAGAAAAGTTAGTGAGTTGTGAGGAGAGCCAGGCCTCTCAAAGAGCCTGGGAGTATCTTTTATTCCATTCGGTGTCATTTGTTCAATTCGAGTGTCTTTCATCTCTTCCAATCAATAATATAAATTCCATTACATATAATCTATGTTACCTTCTAGTTATCTCCAGTTGAAGTAATTTGAGCTAATACAAATTAGCTAACAGCTTCACAGGGTATTCAGTAAAGCAGTAGCATCAGTATCTATTCTTGGAAATCTCAGCAATCTTAGAGTCCTATCAGCTACTCTGAAATTATATGCCCTTACAATCTGAGTATGTGGAAGGTGTCAAAAATGATTTTTTATTCCAAGTTATAGAACACAATTGAAATTTCTAAGAAACAATAGTCTCTGTAATGGAAACCAAATCAAATCTTTTTACTGGCAAATCAAAAAATTTATATTTTTCTCCATGGGAGAAACAAAATGTTCAGTCAAGGACATGAAGTCATAATGTGCTCTCTGATAAAATGTAAGAGAATTATTCTATATTGATAGAAGAAAATGGCGGGAGGAATTGGATTTTAATTCACCAAAATGAAACGTGAATTTACAATGAGAGTGAGCAGCCTATTTATACACAAAAGGGAACTAACTTAACAGAATGGAAAGGGATAAAATGACATAAATACCCTTATGCTATTTTACAATTCAACACTCTCCTTATGCCCTGGGCAATAGGTGCTACTGGCTGGGCCAAAGGGTCATGATCCATCGACGGAAGAAAAAGGAACTCGAGCACAAATTAGGTAATTGAGAGATAGAGGCAGCATATTTCTCTTTTGCCATAAACTCTGAGCTTGTTGGCTATAGCTGAAACAGAAGACTAATCTTTCAAGAGACAGATAAGGAGAAGACGAAGAAAAAGATGGGAAAGGCCACTATCTTTACACGAGAACAAGAAGACTTTTTAAGAGCTCCTACAATGATAATAAGAATTCAGCCATCTATTTTTTAATTTGATTCTAATGTGATTATTGCCACCCTAAAGCTAATACATTAATGACTTATTGTCCTTGTCTATCATTGTATGTTCATTCCCCTCAGCTAACATGTCTGAAAGGACAACAGGAAGCTCATGCAGTAAGATAAAATAACTCATAAAATTGACAAATACTATATGGTCACATAAATCAAATGCACTGAGCCATGCACCTAATTTTAAGGATGCTCTTAGTCTCCCTATTGAGCATTCTTTGTTTCACTTTGAACGATTATTCGGATAGGAATTGAAAAGAGAACATTGTTTTGGATTTTGTCCCCACAGATCTATCATAAAGTGAAAATGGTCAGGCATGAGTTTTCTGACCATGAATACGTAAAAGTACAAGGGTTGTAATAAAAAAAAAAAGATGCTTGTAAAATAATAAATATAGAGTATTTTAGAATTTTGGATATTACTTTAGGACATGTCAAAAAATTAAAGAAGATGCACAATTTAAAGGTGAGAGGTATAAAGAAAAGCCTTGTCCACAAAAGTGTATGATCAATATAGATGTGCCCATCATCCACTCTACCTAGAGATCAAGGAATCTGTAGTTATAATAGGCCAATTTACCACCCCTATAACCCAAACGCACTGCTTTAAGTATTTTATGCTATCTCTAGATGGTGGAGCCTTCTCAAAGTTATTTTGATTTTCTTACAGAGTAATACAAATCGTTCATAGAAAAATTCCTGTCAAAAGGTACAATAGAATATATGACATTATAGAAAGGCCAGAACAAGAGGACAGTCTTGTTTTGTCTTGTTATGCAAAATAGATATTAGGACCATCATCCACATTTATTACTTTTAATGATCAGACAACCATTTGTTTCGCTCTTACAAAGATCAAAGAGCACAGCTGTTCTCACTTCCTTCGTCCTGCCTTCATCTTCAGTGAATGACTCAAAACATAAACAACAAACAAAGAACTAAGCAGTACATAATTCATCACTCACAATAACAGCCATTTCAAATATTGTTTCAAGAGCATTTTTGGTGTTTATTGAACATGCCAGAATAATTGCTTCCACCATTTCATCTAGCACATATCAGCCAGCCAGCAACCCCACTGTGAATGTAAACTATTGGACAAATTGAAGTGAAAAGACTAACATGAATCTATTTCTGTACAGTATGCATCATTTCATTCTTCAATTTATGATTTTTTCTCAATTGAACTTTACCTTTCTCGCATAGTATATATCCTCACCTGATTGCTACAACTATAGAGTAGGCTACAGTGCAAGTTCAATCCTCTTCAATAAATTAGAAAAATAGAACAAAGGTACTGCAACCGGGTTGTCCTGCTGAACAGAAAACACTTCAAACCAAAAATACACCATAATTGACAGTTGGAGGAGCAGAACAGGCTCTTACGTTAAAAGTTTGATTTTTGAATAGAATTTTTCCCTTGATCCCTTGATAAAAAGGATGGTTGCCTTTCGAAAAGTATCCTAGATGGGTGCCACCAATGTATAGGAAGATGATTAAGCCCCTGTTGGCCCCCATTTTTGTTTTTCCTCAAATTCATTTTTAGCCACACATTTTGATGGAATCCACAACTTTTATCAACTTTTCAACCACACATTTCATCCACTTCTATCAAAATCTACTAAAAATCTGATTTTCACCTAAACCAAACGGGGGCTAGATAAGCTATTTATTAACAGAAGGGGTTTAAAGATGGTACTATTTTCCAGGAGATTAACCACACAAAAGCAAATAGAATGATAAGAAATGCATCATATGAAGATCTATTTACCAGGGAAATGAAATAATAGCTAAAAAACAGTTCCCATGGAATATAGAAAGAGAGCATGAAGTGACAAATAGATTGAGGAAAGATCAAGATAGTAATTTATGCAAAACGATAAGCAGAAGCAAATACTAAATACTGGTAGTGCCTTGATAAGTTTACAATCCATAGGCCAACAAGAAAAAAGAGCACAAAAGTTGATGAGTTATTACCGCATTATAGATTGCTCTAATTTTTGGAAGCTGTTTCGGACAGATGACTGAAAGAGAAATTGCACACTGCAAGAAGGGGATGTTTTTGAACTCAGTAAAATACACATCTAAGAAGGTAAGCAATGGCAGAAGGATAGAAAATCTTTTTCAGTACCTGAGCAAATGATTTTGCTAAAGTCTCTGCATCAGATAGATGACTTTCTGCTTGTGCCTCAATGTTATCGCTTTGGTCCAGGTTTTGCAGTTGTGGTCGATAAACTGGCGTTGGTAATGGATAAGGGTTACTTGCAGCAACAAGAATGCACTGTCTTAGCCCATCTACATTTTGAGTTTGATTTCCATTTGCGGCAGAGAACATCTGCGAAATGCACCAAAATATTTTCAAACAAGAAAATATTATGTAAACAAAATGCACAAGTATGCAAGTAATATGTACATTAAAAAAATAATTACAACTTTTTGCTTGATTTGATGAGGCACCAATATCATCACATCTTTTCATTGATCTGAAAAAAAGATGGATGTTCGCAAGAATTTTAAGTTCACATTACTGAAGTGATGAAGGATAGGAAATGTTTTTTAAAACAGTTTCGCACTAAGGCAGTCAATAATGTATGAAATGGCAATATGGGACCAAATACCTAAAAGTGGAAGGTTTTTATAAGGTAAGGGTCATGTTGTCACTTGTCACCTAGAATACAAACTTAACGTGTTGGATAATAGAATATATAAAATGGACTCTTAATTAACACCCAAATGAAACAAAAATTATTAGACTTTGAACTGTCTTCACCAACTGTTCCATTATAAAAGGCAATGGATAAAAAAGGTACGGAACAATATGGAGACTAAAAAGGGTTCAACTATCAAAGTATGCCTAGAGCTTGTTTGGTATTGATTAAAATCGGATTAAAATTGAACAACTAGCCGTTATTGTTGACTTTTATTAAACGAGTGGGATCCAATAATTGCTATATTTTCAATTTTAATTGAATTTTAATCAATACCAAACAAGCTCCTACTCTTTAATAACGGCCTTTCTAGATTATTGAGAAAGATTGTGGTCCCCAAGCTTATTTCAGTAGTTCAGATACCCTATATAACTGAAGGCATAATTTATTGAGTATGAGAAAAAGGTGGTTCAAATTAATTGAAAAGAAAATATGAAAGGCAGAGAAACTTTGTCAAATGCATCATGAACGGAACAAGAAATTCAAAGAGTACTACTTAACCATAAGTAAGAATCAAATAGACAAGTGTACAAGGATATAGACATCACCACACACCATTAGAGCTTCAGCAAGTCCTTCTGAGATGGCAGCATCATCGAAACCACCACCCGAAAAGGGTATAGCTGAAAGCCACTGAAAGAATATGTCAATTTCCTTAGTCCAACCACTCCGTCGCACTACGCAAGCTGCATAAAAAATCATAATCAGAAGGAAAGCGGAAAGTGGAAAAGGAAAACTACCTAATGTGGGTATAAGCGAAATTAAAGGTCCAAGATGGATAATCTTCATTGAAGTTGTAATATCTAGAGAAAAGACAATGGCGGAGAAGAGAAAGCCAATTAAAATAGTAGGTATAACATATGTCCATCTTCAAGACATCAGAGCTAAAACTCTATGACAAGCAAACTACATTCACAAGCAACTTTTTCATTAGATGAAAGTAAGAAGCCTCAATACTTCACAGTTATCTGAGTGTTGAGTGTGTAACTTCAGAACAATTAAAGATCCTCCAGAAAGATCAATATTAATGCATGGTAAAAGATCCTCCAAAAATAAACAGGATTTCAGAATGGAAAAGCTATTAGGATGGATGACAAACAACAAGACAAGATTTTTTCAAAATTAATTCTCAATTTATCCAACAAAAAAACATGGCAAAACCAGCAAAGCCTTAAGATACACTGGTGCATCAAACAATTTCTCATTTTTATTTCAAGAGAAGGGACGGCAAGAGTAAAATCAGGAATCTTTCTAAGACTTATAACAACTGTTTAAAACAGTTTCACTTCAAAGAAAAACCATGAACATAACAATAATGATTAAAATACACACCACTATAAGAACCATGAGCATTGAACATGACCAGAGAGAATGAAACACTGGAAGTAGATGGCTTCTGAAAATTTGATACAAAGCAAACATAAAGAGTTAGCGAATTTATATACGAAACAAGTAACTCAATTTGCATAATCAAAGTAAATGTTAATGACAATGGAGAAAGAAGCATTATAGCTTTAGATATACCTGACCGGTCAACTCATTTCCAACAAAACTCCTGCACATATTTAACAGAAAAATAAAAATCAACAAATATTAAAGGCTGAAGATATTGTCCACAAAGAAAATGTAACTAAATGTGTTATGTCAAGCCCTCGTCATTGATTACTCTTTATAACGGATCACCTCAGTAGGCATCAATTGTTTCAATAATATACTTTCATTTTGTTCATCTGATGTTTATTAAAATTTAACATCGTCAATCTAAAGTGAATTATGCACCTTTTCTTAATCAGCTTCCCACAAGCCAACAGAGGATATATAGGGCTTTCTCTCTGTCAAACCTATGACAACACGTGAATATAATATTCAAGTTCCTCACAAAGAGAAGGCACTATTCCTCTTCAAACGACCAGGGGATTACTTATTCACTAAAAGTTGTTGTAATAATATCATGTTTCTTACCCAAAAAACGAAGAAAATAAAAAATAAAAATGCATTCTCTAGGTGGAAACATTAAATCACCATGTCTGGGTCATAGTTTATATATCATTCTACAAGAAATAAATACGTATAATACCAATCAGTGACAGACAAAAATTAATTGAACAACAAATAGAAATCTATTTACTCATTTAAGAATACCAAAAGGTTAGAAAAACATATTCCCGTAAGCTATTGATTTAATTCATAGATCAATTCGCCAAATAAACAAAAATGACCAATAACTGGCAGTCTATTCTTTTTTTTGATAGGTATAACTGGCAGTCTATTCACTCATCAAGAACACAAAAGCAACTTCTGCTCTTTGAAGCATACACTAATTCCAAGAGAAAATGAGTATACCCCCACCAAAATAAATAATAATAATAATAAATTTATTGAACCGTGAAAACTCATTTCAGAATCCTAATACGTTCAACACGAAAACAAGCGCATATCCCATAACAATTTGCCCCCATCAAAAAACTAAACGTTACAACAGGTTACACAAATAAATACACGTTGAAATCACAGTATGGGTAAATGAAATACCGAATCATCTTGTCGAGGTAATCGGAGAGAATGGTAAACCAGTAGGGTCCCATAGCGGCAGTGCCTTCAACAGCCACGATCAGCTGTTTCTGCGCCATTTACATAAATTCTTGAACCAATCTCAAATCTTCAACTTCTTCTTTCTTTTGCTCTTGATTTTGTTCGAGTCACTGGTTATCTGCCCGCCCTCTCGAGTCCCAACTGAGTTTTCTTGCCAATTCTATCCAGACTTCTTTATTATTTTTGGTCAATTCAACCGAGTCCTCGACCTTTAGTCGGTGTGGCGAGTAGGCCTATCATTTATTACATTCTCGTCATAAACTTTTTTTTTATGGGTAATTAGCACATAACGTCTCATCTTTCATTGTTATTGTGAAAAACGTCCATACCTTTCATTTTTTGATATTTTCACCATTACTTTCACATTTCATTGCGCAAAATGTCATTTTCACTTATTCTCTCCATTAAAAATTATGAAATGACGAATATACTCTATCTTTAAATAAAACAAAAAGAAAAAAAATAATAATTGTTATCGCAGTCCCAATTTATTTAAAAAAATGCAAATAAGTCACAAATAAATTATTAAAAGGGTATTTAGTACATAATGTTCATATATTTCACCATTATTGCGAAAAATGTCTATACCTTTCATTTTTTGACATTTTCACCCTTAATTACACATTTGATTGTGCAAATCATCATTTCTATCCATTGTCATCCAGTTTTTCAATAAAGAACTGTAAAATAATGAATATACCCTCCTATTTAAATAAAAATTATATTTTTTAATTTCTAATTCTTTAATAATTTATTTGGGACTCGTTTACATTTTTAAATTTTCTTAATTTTTAAAATTTTTAAATAAATTTAATTGGGACTCATTTGCACTTTTTTAAAATTGGGACTATGATTGCAATTAATTCTTTAACTTTTTACTTAAATAGAAATGGTGGTTTGGGCAATCAAATGTGTAATTAAGGATGAAAATGTCAAAAAATGAAAGGTAGAGACTTTTTTGCAATAACGGTGAAATATAAAGACATTATTGTACTAATTACCCTTTTAATAATTTATTTGCGATTTTGAAAAGAATTTGGGACTGTGATCACAATTGTTTTTTTTACTTTTTCTGTTTGTTTTATTTAAAGAGAGGGGTATATTCGTCATTTCATAATTTGTAATGGATAAAATAGGTGAAAATGACTTTTTACAGAATGAAAGGTGGAAATAAGGGTGAAATGCTAAAAAAATGAAAGATAAAGATATTTTCCACAATAACAATAAAAGGTGGAACGTTATGTGCTAATTACCCCCTTTTTTATTATAAAACGTGAATTCTATTGAGTTATAGACCCCTCTTAGTCTTAGGTGTGACAAGTATGTTCGGCCTTACCATTTGTTGCACTTATATTTTCGACCTATTAAGCTCTTGTTAGGCATAACTTCTACAAACTTAGCTGCTCTCATTGAGAAGTCAAAAGTATTTTTTGGTTTAATTCAATAATTAAATTCAATAATTTAATTGAAAGTGTTTTGCGATTACAATTAAGCAATTATCTGGGATGATCATTGAGAAGTCAAAAGTTATTTTTTGAAATTAATCTACTTTTGAATTTGATTGAATAATTTTATACGAGTGCTTTTTCAGATTAGTACAGTATTCAGAGAAAGTTGGTTCGTGATAGCTTTAGAAAGAAGTTCTTCTGCAAAAAACAGAAGTTGAAGCTACCTAAATAGGCTCTGAAATAATAGCATTCATGTCTTCAAGGAACAGAAACGTGTATTGGAATGTTAAATGGTGATATGAAACACATCTAATGTTAGATTAAATTGATAAAATTGTCCAAGAAGACTTTCTTTATTCCAAAATAGTCTAAACACTGATTTTAACTTTCCTTCAAAATTGTAATAGAGTATAATCTTTCTCAGTTTCATGTTCATTAAACATGTCATCAGGCTTCATCCCATTCCTAATATCAAATTAATGTCACATGGCCTTCTATTTAAATAAATATTTTTTTTATAAACTAGAAAGATGTGTTCACAATTTTAAAAGATTAAAAATGCGACTATAGTAAATAATAGTTTTGGAACATAGAATGAAAAGGTCGAGGACCCCTTTTATTTATATAGTATTTGAATCTTTATTTATGTATTCCTTTCATTTCAATTGTCATTATATGCAACAAATACGGTTATTAAATAGGCACTATAGGTTTTGTTTTCAATTAATACATCTTTCTATATATAAAAAGTGTCTATCTAACGGAATTTCTTGTTTTAACCAGGCATCTGCACCTTCTTTCAGTATTTTTATCATAACTTTGTATTCCGATATTCGATTGAGGCGATTCAAATGCGTTGGAAAGCTAACCCATCTGGCTACAACTTTGATTCAGACATCATTCTCCAATTCGATCACTTTTTATGCCAAAAATATGTCTCAATATAACAGACTATGTAACGGAATGTTTTGTTTTAAACAGGCAGCTGCACCTTCTTTCAGTATTTTTATCATTACTTTGTATTTCGATGTCCGATTGAGGCGATTCAAAATGCGTTGGAAAGCTAACTCATATGGCTACAACTTTGATTCAGACATTATTCTCCAATTGGATCACTTTCTATGCCAAAAATAGGTCTCAATATAATGGACTATGTAACGAAATTTCTTGTTTTAAACAGGCAGCTGCACCTTCTTTCAATATTTTTATTATAACTTTGTATTCTGATATCCGATTAAAGCGATTCAAAATGAGTTGGAAAGCTAACTCATCTGGGTACAATTTTCATTCAGACATTATTCTCCAATTCGATCACTTTCTATGCCAAAAATATGTCTCAATATAACAGACTATGTAACAGAATTTCTTATTTTAAACAAGCAGCTGTACCTTCCTTCAATTTTTTTATCATAACTTTGTATTCCGATATCCGATTGAGGCAATTTAAAATGCGTTGAAAATCTAACTCATTTGGTTACAACTTTGGTTTAGACATTATTCTCCAATTCGCCCATTTTATATGCCAAAAATAGGTCTCAATATAACGGACTATATAACGGAATTTCTTGTTTTAAACAGGCAGTTGCACCTTCTTTCAATGTTTTTATCATAACTTTGTATTCCGATATCCTATTGAGGCGATGCAAAATGTGTTGGAA